CTATGATTCTATGTATGATGACACATGTAAAACCTATGTTAGAGTGAAACAAGAGGGACTGGGGAGGTGAAGCCCTAGTCCATCTGTTGCTGTTCGTTGTGCTATGGGCTCATCTTTCTTGACTGAGTAGCCAATAAGTTAGTTCCCTAGTGTGTGTGCCTCAGCCCTGGCAGTAGCAGTGTTACTAATACCAACCCTAAACCCCTCATCTGAATGTAAGCCCTGAGGTAGAAAGCAAATCTGGTGAAAATGGACTTGATGTTTGCATAGCGAGTCTGTCATTGTTCTCTGCATGAGTGCAAGGAGCAGCTCCATCAGCTGGTTCTAGTTTTTTATCTGTAGAAGCTGGTAAGCGTGCTCCTGGTGTAGGCTTTGTTTCATTGGTAAGGCAAAAAAAAAAAACCAACAGAGAAGTCACCAGGTTTGTTTCTCTCATGCTTCATTTAATTCCCATGCAGCCCTTGTTCCTAAAGTGCTAGCGCGGGGTTTATTAGTACACATGTGGGCAGGCACCTACGCCGCATCGTGCTTTAGTGCAGTACCTGAACCACCTCTTTATATGCTAATGCACTAATAGGGTTCACTTCAAAGCTGTGCAGAGAAATGTATTTAGTCCTAGAAATGGAATAGCTGTGTTTGGCACAGTGGTGTTGGTGGGGATGACTTGTGTCACGCAGAGTGCCAGGGTGACCCAGTCTTATTGCAGTTCTTATCAGTGTGGATGGGGTTGGCTTGACCTGTGTGGAGTGAGGCACTGGTCATGTAATCATAACCCTTCTGGGTGCCTGTGTGGTGGTAGGGTGGAAGAGGAGGGTTGAGAGGTTACTAGAAGCTGATGAGGACAGATACTGCTCCAGTTTGCTTTACATTGTTTTCTGTGGTTGCATTTAGTCCATTCTTTTTGCAGCTGTTCTCTTTGATATGACAAATTCTTTCTAAACTAAAACTTGGGCCATCACCACCCTCGCCCTCGTGCTGAGGCAGTGCCAGTTCTAGGATTTGTCAGAGAAGAAGCAGTTTGCAACGGCTGAAGGATCCTGCTGTGATAAAAATTAAAGTGTTAACCCCAGGATTAATGAGGCTTCTACTTTGGTGCCTGTTCTATACTGTGTAGATTAAAGGGTACTTCTGAGTTAAATGTGTACTTTCCTCAGGTGTTATTGGCAGGTTGCAGGACAGGAGGGCGTGTGGACAGGAGACTCCAGACAGCTCGAGTCTAATTACTGCTAATCCTGGCCTGTGCAGACTGTAATTTGTACTGGATACCATTAAGACACAGGGCTGTAAAATCACAATTGCACTGCACGCTCCACCTGCAGATTAGCAGAGCTCTGGAGAAGAGGCAGCACCTGGAGGGACACACATGCACGGTCTGTGTGTATGTGTGTGTGTGTGTGGACAGGGCAGCACTTGGCTTCTGGCCTGTTTGTGGCTGTTTAACGATCACTGATTGACCGTGCTGCCTCCGTACGTACACACGCAGCAGGTATATACCCTGTGTGAGGATTAAGGACAAAGCCAACACTGGCAGCCTTATGCAGCTTTAAAATAGCCTGTCAGAGGATTAATGAATTCTGGCTCGTGGCTTCTTCCTGTGCATTTTAAGGAAGTATAGTAGTGTTTAATATCCTAACAAAGAGTTTAGCATGGAAAAAAAAAACAAAACAAAACAAAAACCAATGGCCTGGAGCAGCTGCACTCCTTAAAGCTATAAATTCTGACATGGGAATGTATCCAAACGGACTTTCACTGCCAACGGCTGTGTTTGTCCTGGGTGTTTTATTTTTTATGAAAAGCGTGTTATCTTTTTCTCTTCAGGGGAAATCTTTAACTGGTGTCATGAGGCTGAGGCAGATGAAACTGGAGTGGTGGGGGAAGGTGTTTTTCTTTTTTGCGGGTCAGTGTTGTCAGCGTGTGTTTGATTTTCTTTTTTAGGGAGTTTCAGGGCAGCTGATAGTGGGAAGATTCTCAAACGCTTCTCGGAGAATGAAAAGGAGTGTTTCGAGCGATTGATGAAAGACCCGCTACGTTCCTGCGTCCCTTGCTTCCATGGTGTGGTGGAGAGAGATGGCGAGAGCTACATTCAGCTGGATGACTTGCTTACAGATTTTGAAGGGCCTTGTGTGATGGACTGCAAGATGGGCATCAGGTAGGGTACATGAACGAGAAAGTGCTTTCTAACCTAAATGCATTTGAAGGAGGAGGGGAAAGAGGGAGGGGACATGGTCATGCTCTGTCTGGAGGAGTTTAGTAACGTTTTTGGAGCCTTGGGATTCAGTCTGGACAACCCGTTGTTGGTTTGTCAGTCACCCTGGACAACCTGAGGAGAGTACATCCTACTGTTTCCTGCTTGTATATGGATTCTGGAAACTTTCTGGATCTATAACTTCGAAAACCATCCACACCGAGAAATTTTCAAGTGTGATTTAAGACAAAGTTTCTCTGCAATGGCACGATAGGAGATGGGAAAAAAAACCTGCATGATTCATTCACTGCCAGTTCATTTAATCTTTGTGTATGCAGTGATTCAAAAAAACCCACAAAGAGTAAAATTCCCGTCTCCAGATGTGAGTGACTGAATAGCGGTGTGAAAGCCCATTTCCAACGCTTGGATGAGTCTTCGCTGGTATTGATCCTTTCTGTAAAGAAAGGAGCTGACCATCTGCTCAGGACTGACCTGTGTTTTTTCCTGCTCTGACATCTCCATGATGCTATCACCTTGTTCTCCAGGTTCTCACTTTCTTTTCCTTTTTTTGTCTGTGATGAAGAGGAAAACCTCAAAAATGTTATCTAAGCATAGCAAGTAGGTAAGGAATCTTTTGAGAGCCTGGAGTAACAGTAAAGAGAGGTATGAACTGTCATAGCAATCTTGTGGGTGCCAGCTCAGATGCTCAAGAGTTACTGTCATAAATGAGTTACTCAGTTTACAGGAGTGCAGACAAGCCTTTTCAAATAGATGCAAAATCTTAAATGAATTGTCAGCTAAATCAGAGTAGAAATGTGTAGCACTGGTATGCCCAGAAGAAAGAGGAGGAGGATGTGCAGCAAGTACATATTTTATTCAAAGTAGGTGACATTCTGGTAACGAGTGACAGCATCTCCTAAACACCAGCCTGGTTTATTACACTGTGATGAAGAAAGTACACTCCTGGCACCTGACAAAGTGCAAGCTCTAGCAGTCCAGTGGAATGTAGAGAACAGGGATAGTGCCTTTTTAATGGTTACCAGATTAATTGGCTGAGTGATTAACAGCAAAATGTGGATGGTTTGTCACCCTTCACCTTCCTGTTCTGTTACCTCTTCTGGTTTGGAACTGCTCAGATACCTGCTTTACTCTTTAATTTTTACTGTATGAAGAGTGATTCTGTATTTCACTGTGATGCATTAAGTAAAACCTTAATTGCTTTCTGAGACCTAAAAAATCACACGTGAGTGATGTGATGTTTTTCTGAGGAGAGAGAAGCAGCCCTATTTGCTTTTGATTTCATTGTAAGTGATCTCTCCTAACTGACCTCTGAAAAGACATCTCTAATGGCACAGTAAGCATTCTGCTTTCTCCCATTCTGTTAGCAGAACATAACAATAACATTTAACAGTAAGTAAAGGTATAGTTAGAACAAGAATGAATGACACAATTCCTGATTCCTGTGGCTGTTTCACTAAATATACCTGCACAGTCATTAGTCTGTGTTCTTTAGTTTCTCCATATGCAAAACTGGGGTAATGACAACACTTATTTTCCTGGTTGACATTTCTTGAGGCCAGTTTATAACTTGTAAAAAGAAATGTTTTAGGGAGTCCTTAAAGTTTTGTTGGGATGTGACGTTTTTGCAGGACATACCTGGAGGAAGAATTGACTAAGGCTCGTGAGAAACCAAAGCTACGTAAGGACATGTACAAGAAAATGATTGAAGTGGATCCTCTTGCTCCCACAGCTGAAGAGAACGCTCAGCATGCCGTCACCAAACCCCGATACATGCAGTGGAGGGAAACCATCAGCTCTAGTGCCAACCTGGGCTTTAGGATTGAAGGGATTAAGGTAATAGTTTCACTTCTGCCTGTTCTTGGAGACCAAACTTTTTTTGATTTGTTGATTAATCAAAAAGCTAGTGCACACCAGTTTTTGGTTTTCCAAAGGATTATGTGAAAATGCACTAATTGAAACCACAGAGTTCAGTGTACTGTGGTTTTAAAGCATCCACTGTAATGATAACAGAGTAATGTCAGTGAAGTTAAGCATCAAATGCACATCAGCCGTGCTTGATTCAACCACAGAGACATTGCAGGAAGGACTCAAGCAGGTACACAGTGTAGATGGAATGAAAATGGGACTGGTATAAGGAAGAATTCAGAATTGAAGAAATAACCGCCTCTCCCCATGCAGTTACCAGGTACTATACATATTTATTCCAAGTGAATCACAGTAAAGTGTTTTTGTTCCAGTTATGTTTGTTTGCAAGGCATGTTAAAAGCATTAGCTTAGATATTCTTGGGATTGAGGAAACCCCTTTTCCTTTTAATTACATGACACTGTCTGGTATGGAGACAGTAGAGGTGGAATGAAGCCAAAATAAAAATAAAATTTCTCTGTCATCAAAGTCCATCTGTTCGTCTTGGTGGATAAGTTTGTGCCCCTATACCATTCCTAGGATACTACCTTACAGCCACAGAACAACTTTGGCAATTTTCTTTCCTACCCATTAATCTTTTACATTTATATCCTATGGCAACGTCAGATACCTCCCCAGAAGCACATTAGGACCTACTTGCAGAATATCAGCCACCTGACTCAGTTACTTCAGGTGTTTACGCTTGCTGGAACCCAGAAGTGTGCTTCCTGCTCACACAGGCCTGTCACAGCTAGCCTTAAACTAGTATGCTTGGGTTTAGATAGTGGTGTACCTGTAGCAGCACAGAGCATGGTGAGGGCTGCCCGTGATGGGACAGCTATGAAGTTAGCATGGGTTACCCTGTGTGATTTCAGGATGTTCCCAGAGCGTATTCATTTAATTTAGGTATGTTAGGACATTGTAAATTATAATCTAGATTAGTTTTGCTTCTGTTTCATAGCTCAAGCATATAAGAAGAAAGGGATAAAAATAAGAGGGTGACACTGATGAGCAGATGCTCTTTATACACCATTTTCTTCTCTGCATCCCTGTGTTTTCTTCTCTGTTCCTCATTCATAGATTCTCCTGCTGTGATACAGGAACTAGGGCTTCCAGCTCATGCTGTGCTGGCCCCTTGCACACTGTGTCACCCACTCCTGGCTGTTAGACACAGGCATCCTCATGCAGGAACTCTCTGGGTGGTAGATGGTCTGGCTCCAGTCCAGCCAAGACACTTGTCTTACCCTTTAGCTATCTGATGATGTTATCGAGACACCTGTTTTATTCCTATACCACTTAGGGCTTTGGATGCTCTGTATGATGGAATCAGAAACCCAGATGATCTTGAGACCTTTTACATATGTTCTTGGAAAGATATTTGGTCAGTGTAGAAGATGTACAGATTTATGTTGAGTCCTGGAGAGTGACTGAGCTAAGGGAGCACAGGGGAGCTCCAGTAAAACCTCCTGGCTTGTTCTTTGTAGTTTGGTTGGTTATCAGAGGTGGGTAGGAGCAGTATGGCACACAGACTGCATGATCTTTCCCTCTGCTGAGACAATGCTGCAACTGTGCAAAACAGGACAAAAATACTTAATCCTTGATTAAGCACAGGAATACTTTGGAGTACTGCAGGATGTTTCCTTTTCCTCTGTCTCTCTGTGCTGTTATGAGGGATGTAGGTATCATTCTCTTATTTTTTTTTTTACATGGAGAAAAGGTGACAGCAAGTGAGTTGTTCAAGCAATACAGCCAGTCAGTACTCCCTACACTGATTCCTTGTAGCTGAACTGTACATCCAGTTCTGTATAATCGGAGAAAAGCAAAGCCATGCTGCAGAGATCCCCTTGTGAGGAGAGCCTGTAAGGATCAGTGGTGCCAGCTAGTGGTTGATGGGAAAAGGGTTGTTGTCCTGAGCTCGCTGGTAACTCCTGGAGTTAGCTGAGCAGGTATGTTGGGTTTGGTCACTCAGAAATCTTCCTGCCCCGTGGCTGCTGGAGTAAGAAGCGGAAGCAAAGAAAGTGAAATTATAGAAGCACTTCTGTGAAGTGGCTGCTGAAAATGAGATCTGATTCACCATGTGCACCCCTCCTTCATCAATGGGGCACCTTTTCTTTGTACGTTGATTCGTCTTTTTTCCTTGCCTTGCTTCCATATCTCTGAAATCAAGTCAGGTTCACTTAGGGAATGGTCACTCTTCATCTTATCAAAAAATAGTTCAAACCATTGGGCTCCCTTACAGCTGGCACCTGACACTCAGTCTCTTCTGCCTGCCAGATTCAGAATGCAGGTTTCCTCTCTGGAAGGGGCTGTCTGAAGGACAGGCATCACAAACATTGTCTCTACAGCACTAAGCTAATAGTTTTGGAGAGCAGAGGTGCATGGGGCTGAGAATCAGGAGTTCTGGCTTCCCATTCTGTCACTCTGTGCAGTTTGGGAGGTTACTTCTTCCTTTGGTACTGTTCCTTTAGCTGTAGATCAGGGACAGCCATTTTCCCAGAAGGACATCGGATTTGATTCCTAAATCTTTGTGAATTCATTTAGGTCATGACCTTAGCCCAGAGCCTTTTAAGGGAAGTCTGCAGAGGAATCTGAGCAAGACCACACGGGTTAAGATAGGTAGTGCCACCAAACCTGCCCTCCTGCTAGCCACGTCACTGTCACATCTAACGAGAAGTGCTGCAAGTGGCCCACTAGGTACATCCAGAGGTGTGGCAGGGACCTGGTATAGAATACGAGGGATGGTGCTGTTCAAAATCTGGATGTTGTTTTCAGCAAGTGAAGACAGGCAGCAGTTATGTTTCCTGCCAACCACTGCAAAAGGAAAAAATCATAAAGGTGTTTCTAAACAACAGGGAAGCTACCAACTAGTCTGTCCAGACAAAAAGGGAACACACAGCAGCTGTTCCAGGCTTTGCTCTGGGATCTGGGGCATGAGAAGAAATTATTTTTAAAACAGCCTTGCTGGAATGAAGAGGTACGAGGCATCAGACTAAGCTCCACATTTCTATGTGCTGTTGAGTATTATCATACATCAGATCAGATGGCTCCTAACTTCCACTGCCTACCTGCTG